AATAAGTAAATATCTCGAGTACTTGACAATTTCTATCTGGCAATTCTCCTAATAATGCAGGAGCTTTGTAATTCCATTAAATTTGCTTGCGTTGTCTCAGAAATACCAGATTTCTCTGAGTTTACTATTGTTTGCAGTAGCATGAAGGAATCATTTTACTTACAGTTGCTTACAGGGCAATTTCGACTGGCTATGCTGAGATCATGGGTTGTAAAAGTGTCAGTGTGTTTCTCAACAACAGGTAAAAAGGTTAATTGCTTTATTTTTAATCCTATATAAAGATATGTAGCTGTGTCGGGCACATTTAGTAGTGCAGCATATTTCAATGGTCAGTCAAGGACTGCAGCATGCTTTTTGGAACATGTTTATCAAAGGAGAGGGGCTGTAAGAGCATTCAACAGGAATCAGGCTTCATGCAAATAGGAATTATGGTTCAAAGGATTTTATCTCTCTCTGCAAGAAGCCAACCAGCAGAAATTTAAGTTTCAGATATCAAGAATATCCCACTTGCACAGGAACAATGTACCTAATTCCAATGTACACAAGTGTGTTGGGGTATCTTTGTAGCTTTAGTTAGTTTCAGTTTTCAGTCTCTGCACAGTTTTTATACTGCACTATCATAATATATAATTATCTAAAAAGCTGCAGTAAAGGACACATATTTTGGATTCATAATAAGTTGTTTACAAAATTTAAAAGCCCTGGTATAGTCCTTTAAAGCTTAATTGCTCTGCACAATAATTGGCTCACAAATAGCTCATTTGTAGTGCCCTGGTTATTATTTCCAGACTGACAGATTAAAATATTACCTCATTAAGTGAATGAGCTATCATCCGCGGGTTCTTTCATCGTCATCTTGTGCATTTGTTGACAAGTTGGAGATGGGAATGCACCGCAGAGCTACTTGGAGACTCATAGATGCACTGCACATGGTCGAATTCAGTAACAGGCCTGTCCTAGTGATTTGTCCTGTGTCCACTGTAAACTAACCCCGTATGACCCTGGGAGATGGCCACAGCAGGAGCCAGCAGACGGGCTCTCGCTCAGGGAGCTCCAAGAGGTCATAGGGGCGTCACTCCATAACTTTGGCAAGGGTATCCTCCCATCTGTTGAGAAAATAAGTGCCGTCCAATGATTGGCCATCCAGTTGACTGGGGCACCATGGCTGTGGGTAGGCGGAGACAGACAGAGAGCTCCCTGCCAACAGCTGCATCCCTGCAGGGAGGGCTGTTTGGAGTTTCCATCCATCCATCCATCCTTAGCCCTAACTGGTTATTTAAGCCATGCTCTCAGGGCAGCAGATTGTATTTATTACGTATTTGCATATATATGAGGGCCCCTATTTTGGCAGCTGTTTAAGCAACCCACTCTGTGTTGAGATTATATGAGACCGAGAACAGAGAGTGAGAGATGTCGTTCCATCTTGAAATCAGAGAATAATAGTGAGCAATCCCGCGGTTATTGCCAATACAATACCAGCAAAAGAAAGGTATTGCCTTGAATGTACAAAATGCAATGGACACTGTCATTCCATATCACCAAAGCAATGTTACGTCATCAGTATTAAATGGTTTTGGTATCCTTGGAAGCTTCTCCCACACTTAAACATAGGGGACGCTCAGGCATTTTCAGGGGAATCAGCCACAAGACACTGAACGTAGTTTCACACGTAGCTCGAGGTGTCTTCTAAGCCGGGAAAGTAACAGCATTTTGTTGATGTCAAAGGTCAAAGCTCAGAGCGAGTTCACGGTATAAGGAAGGGATAACATCAGGGTCGTTGATAGAAAGTGAAAGGGTGTTTCGCTCTGTTTATTGCCCACCTCCAAACAAATTCTTGTCCTCCACACTGAAACTGGGAGAGAGATTGACCCCATTTTGCCTGTCTGTCCATTCGTTATGTCATTTCGAGTAGGATGCTACATTTCGGTGATGGTTTTAGAGAATGCTGCTGTTGAATGACGCCTAAAGTAAACGCTACAATATTGGTCTTGTTGTGTCATGCAACATATTTCAGGTAAAATGTTTTGGGACACAGTTGAAAGCTATGGGATATGTATTCCAATCTGAGTGATCTGGGTCCATCCCAGGATCTCTTCCCAGTTGGATGCACCTGGAAAACTTCCAGAGGGAGGTGTTTAAGAACTAATGCAGTGGGAGGAAGAAGGAACGTGAGAACAATAGGTGGATTGCCATCAGTAATCCAAGTGTCGTACTAGACTGTCATGGGCAAAAGGGATCCTGCAGGCGAACCTCTCGATTCACCTGTCAGTCTACGTTCCAGTACTTTTATGTGGCAGGGAGCTTTGGGAATGACCAAAAGAGTGAGACAAAGAGGTAGAAATAAGTTTCCTTTGCACGGTAGCTTGGTTCTGACATCCTGAAGGAGAAGAATCGCTACTCCTTTGGGTTGAAAGGATCCAGTTGAGATTGTCCGCGGTGGGTTATAGGCCTATTACTGGCAAATCTTTTCATTTGGGATAAACCAGAAGTCACTCTCTCGCCTCCAACTAGTTCAGAATGCAGCAGCTCGGTTTTAACATCACATCACCCCAGTCCCGGTTTCTTTCCATCGGCTCCCCGTTCGGTTTAGAATAGATTTTACATTTTTACTCATGGCTTTTAAACCTTGTCTCGGTCTGGTCCAAAGCTACATAGCAGTAATGTTGACCCCATATGAGCCAGTTCACAGCCTTAGATCCTCTGGTGGGGCCCTCCTGGCTTTTCCAAAGTTGAGGCTTAATTCTAAAGGTGAGCGTGCTTTTGCCATCGGGGCACCATGGATTTGGAAGGACGTACCTCAGGAGATAATGCTTGCAGAATCATTTTTAATCACATTTCCCTTTTTATAGACTTGCTTTTATGTGATGTTGTTTGTTTTTTATTTTATTCTTTTAATTTGGATTTAATTATATTGACATTTTGCATTTTGGCGTCTTTTGTCTTTTTAGTTTATTTATTTACTTACTATTTACTTAATTTTGTCTTGCCTTTGTTTAGCTCTCTGTTGTTACATTTCCTTCTGAATAACCTGCTTTTGATTTGTCTGTCAAAACACTTTGTAAACTGTGTTTTAAAGATGCGACATTAAGTTAAAGTTGCTATATTAAGTTACAATTACTATAAATCAAACATGTTTTTTCCTTTTTATGAAATGTAGAGGTGATACAGCTTTGCATTAATGTGCAAACAGTTCAATGGTCCCAGCAGAACCTGTTCTCATTATCTTTTTCTCAAATTCACTTGTGGAATTTAAAGATGAGGGTAGCGTATGCGTACGGTAGAAATATCCACTGTTGTGCACCGGTGCATGTCCGGCCCACTTGTTCTGGCAAATCCCAACCTTCTTCTGGGTTAAGTCACTGCAGTCTCAAACCCACAAGTCATGTGGCTGCCAGCATGATAGATGGCCACACAACCGATTAACCATGTTTTACGCTCGCTTGAATTAGATAGATAGTATTTCTGTCAGAGGAGCAAGCTGAGACGGGAGGATTAAGATGTGGTGTTTTTCACTACAGCGTTCACTCTTTTGTCTGTACTTGTTTTGTTCCATTCAAAGGCAAACACATAGAGACACAAACACATATGTACACAGTCTTCCAGTTGTTGTTATGCCCTACAACAGTGTGGAAACTGCATGCCTGGTATAACACAACTTCTCATTATATTTACATTGGAGTGCATGCCAAATCTATGAATAATGAAAGCACATTTCAGTAGATGTTAAAGTATCGTTCCAGAACAGGAGGCATCACAGAAATATCAGCCGTGGCAACCATTTCTTGTTTTCTTTCTTCTTCAGCAGTAAATGGGTTTTCAAACAGTATATGGATATTTCCTGAGCGGACTGGGAAAGGATTTGAAGAAGTCTAAATTCTTGATTCAATAAAAAGTGAATAATAAAGACACAGGCAAACTGCTCATTGCAGCATTTTATTGTGAATTCCATTTTAATTAAGTTAATTACTATGAACACTGTCGTTTTGCTTTCTACTGTCCCCCAATCAGGCACAAGATAATCTGGTATTCTCACATCAGACATTAGTAATTTCACTGTGCTGCATTCAGAAAATCATAAAAGTTGCACATTTTTATTAGTTTTGCTGATTGCTTCCTCATGCAGTTTATGTATTAAAGGCTTACTGCTGTGGAATAAGAAGTGCTAAAGAGATAGGAAAAGGTCAAGAGACTCTAGACGCAAAATGTTTTCAGAATACATTTCTCCTAAGAGGCTCACAAGTTGGCTTCAACTTTTCACCTTTCAGCTTTCCAACTCTCATTCATACCTTTAATGAAATGGTTTTAGTCATCTGTCCAATTCAAGACATGAAGCTATGCCTGTTTATTGCCTTGTATTGGCCAGAACCTCAAGACTTGACATGTCAGGATGCGGTCCGCACAGTCTCTTCAGCCGTTCAGATACACAGATATTCCACCCCTCTAAATGTGGCAGGTGCTCAGGTTTGTATCTGTCTGCCAGGAAACATACAAAAACCCGAGCAGCAACCACAACAAAGAGCGATGCGTGTGTGAGTAGCAGTTGATTGTTGGGTTTGAGAAAGGGAAGTTCGACAGCATCTTATCCTTGTTGAGCAGTGAAACATTAAAACCACCGGTATCCCGTTTGGTGTGTTTGTGGGGTTGCACTCTGCCAAGCTAAAACAACAGTCGACAGGTGGCTTCTTTTCGCTCTTTATGCCGTGCACCTGAATTATTTTTACAGAAGAAGGTTCTTGAAAATGACTTCAGAGTCTAATCTATTCATTAGATATATTGCATGTTATTATTTATCCAAGTTATGTCAGTTGTATACAGTGCTAGCATCCTGCAGGCTTATGGTTAGAATAGCCCTCTTTTCCAACCCTATTATTTATCTATCTGTGTCCATTTTCTTTTATTTTTCAATGCTTTGTTTTAAGGTGTTGTAGTCTTTTACATTTTCACATAGATCACATGATTTACATCTTTCTGTCTCTCTCTTTCTCTCTAGGTAAGTGAGGTTTTCCTCTGCGTCCATCCTGAAACAAGCACCTCTCACCCCACCCGTCACACAGTGGCCCCCGGAGATAGCGGGTGCCGAGGTGATTCATTGGTAGCAGTGCTGGTTAAAAATATTCCTCCTCCTCCTTCTCCCTCTGCTCCACTTCCCTCTGCCTGTCAGAGGAAATGAAGCCAGCTCGTGTTCACCGCTAAACAAGACCGGAAAGGGGGCTCTGTAAGCTTCTATCATTTTAATGTCCCTTAACACCTTCCAGGCACTGAATATTTGTTCAGGTTGGTGTAAAATGTGACGAAGAGGCGTGAATGATGTCAGGGCTACAGGGAAAAGTGGGATGCGTGCCTTTGAATGTGGTGGACAGCAGCAAAAGGACAACAGTGGTCTTTAGAGGGTGGCAACGTGTTATCTTTGTGCTAAAAAGCTGTCTTTTCCAGTTCAGCTCCTGCTGAGAACTGATTGTTAGGTTGTGGGTTTGTCCTTGCCTTGCATTGATGCACACAACCAATTAATCATTGTTCTTTATCTACACCTTTATTAATTTGGGTCGTTGACGAAGTATAGTGTTGACCTTGTGCTTTGTGGGGTTGTTTTTGTCTGTCTTTTTCCGATGTACCTTTCCAAGTCAGATACTCATTAAACACAGCAGGAAAATGACAAGCAGAATATGTGATCGGTCTGTTTGAGGTCCAAAAGTTTTCACAACTCTGGGAAAGAATCCTGACCTTGACAGGGGACGATAAATAATTATCATTACAATGTCTCTGATACAGTTTTGCTCCATGTGATTATCCCTCCCCCCTTGTCCTTCCTGCTGATATTGGCCTGAAGTACGTTTTATCTTCACCTTCCAGGCGGACCAGATTAATCCAGTGAAATGTGTTTTAGCTAAGTCAGTGCACTAAACGGAGAGAAGAGGGAACCCAGTGGTTCTGTGTCTCTTGAATTACAATGAGTTTGGCTCCTTTTTCCAAAACGGGAGAACGGTGTTTTCGCTGCAAAGATCAATCACTTCATAGAGCATTGTTTGGGTTTTAACTTTTGAGGACCTTGTTGGCTTTGGGGATGACGAATTTTTCAGCAATGCTCCCATGGACCCGACATCCAACTGATGCAATGAGGCTGCAATTGTTTTTGCTTTTGAACATTGGTTTCTCAGATCGCCGGAGTTGCCTTACTGCTGTCTCTGCTGGAGTGGATTTGCTGCGAAGCCATTCTTCTCAGCCCCAGACTGCAGCTTTTATTGGGAGATTGTGTGCTGGGCGAGGCGCAGCAAATTAACCAAGGCCTGCGAAGGTTAAATGCTGCTACCGGGGACTTTGTGCATGAGGCGGGCAGTGCCACATCACTGGCAGCTCCCCTCTAGCCTTTCCGTCTTGTCAATAACTGCTGTCCACATCACAGCCCATTCATGTCCCTGTGTGAAACACTGTCCATTGTAATGGCATCACATTACGCAGAACATATTCATTTTTGGCAGCAAAACAAGGGCCCAGCATTCATTTTTACTCCATTCATCTTCATATTTCTGTGCATGTTCACAGTGTGAGTCAATGGAGCTTTGTTCACGTCCTCACAGATGACCTCTCAGTTTTGTCCTTCCATTTGTCCTCAGCACACTGGCTCAATGGGTTGCTGTGTTCACTCTTATACAGAGACAGTATGGACCCCTAAAGGCCCAAGGACTCCCAGATGATGGAGTGAATAAGACATCTGCCATGGAAGTACAGATGGTAGCCTTGGGTACACTGTACCCTGTTGAAGCTGAAAAATATGATTTCAACCTAAGTAAGCTGTATTGACTGCGACGTCTCCTGCACTAGTCCTCAGGTTGTTGGTGCAGGCAGCGGGTGGTGGATTGATTACTGTACAGTATTCCTACAAGAGAGCACTGACCTGTGATTATACCATAAACCAGCAATATGTTGTTTACATGGAGACACAATTTTCTGGAACTATCTGTGCATCGGGTGAAATTACATGATCATAGATCGCGCCTTTTTAAGCAGGCACATAAAAGAGTGCATGTGTGTATTTGAGCTCCTCTTTTTATAGTTCATAGGAATTTTATATTTGCAAGATGTTGTTTAAGAGGAATGTTTTACTGTTATGTGCTGCTGGATTTTCCTTCTATGAACAGCACTTGATGAGCAAAATATTTCAGCAACTACCCACCAGATTGACATGATATTCGTTGATTGAATGATTTTTGTGCCTGATAATCCCTTTTTGTCTTTGGCCACCGTCAAATCAGAATCCCCCTTCATCAATGTTTTGCTCCATGATTCACAATGCTGTGTTTTTGTGAAATTTGGATGGTTTTCAGAACTTTCCAGGAACCCTCTATTAATTTACTCCAGACTGGTCTAATGAGGATACCAAGAGCGCAAATGTTTTGCTCGAAGTAAAACATTTTCAACTCTCATGAGCACGCCTTCCCCGCAGTTGGCAACTGTTAGAGTGACTCTACATCTGTTTGCTTCCACTTGCTGATTTCCCTTGTATTTGCAAGCAGTTCCTCTGCCTTTAGAAGTTGCTTCATATTCAATATGAACATACCTTTAGAGCAAGGAAATTGTCAGGGTTGTATTATCTAATACTTGACATATTTTGGGCAGCAATGAACATTACAGCCTCCAGGGGCCACTAGCAGGGCTTTATCTCACGATGAGTTGACCAACAACCAATTTTGCAAAAATAACTCATCACACATTATAATAATTCAGCAGATGCATCTTATTTCAAATTCAGAATTGCAAAAAAATCTACATACACACGCTTCAGTCACGTGAAATGTCCCACGAATGCACACTTGTGTCATTATCTTGAAAACAATTGCATTGCAAAAGCCTCCTTGAGCTCGCCAGGCTGTCCTCTGTCCTCCTTGTGCGTTGTGTGGAAGGTGAGTGTGTGCCAGGCCTTCAAACACTGCTCGTCCACCCCCCCCTTTGTACCTCGTCTGGCCGGTGTCCTCCCACTACTGCTGCTTCGTGTTTGGAAGGGCCAGCAGGGCCAGCATGGAGAAGGGAAGGAGGGCCGTCTGTGCCCAGCCCGGCCACCTGGCTGCCCAGAGGGGAAGGGGGCGTGGAGGGTGGAGGAGTAGAGGAAGCGGGTCAGCGGGAAAAAGAGACATTTCCCATCCTTTTTCTCTCTCTCTTGTTTTCTCTCAGGCCTTCTGTTCTCTCATCCGCTACTTTCTTCCTCTTTCTTCTTGCTGTCACACTTTGTCCCTCACTCTTCCAGCCTGGTTCACCTCTCACTGGTTTTAATCCTCTGTTTTTCTGTTCTGTTCCTCACGTTAAGTCGATTAGGAACAGGAGTCACCGTAGTTAAAAAATCTAGTTAGTTCTTCGCTTATAAAAATGGAAACATTGTATAATTTTAGAAATTATGAAAAAAAAACAACTTAAAATGATGTCGTACTAACAGTACCATACGTGTCCAGCTTGTAATAGGATAGTTGCACATGTATATATTTACTCTATAGAACAGATAAAATATGAGTTAGAGAACTGAGATTCCTTTTTTTTCCTTGTGGACTGCATGTACATAGTCTGTTCCTGTTTGTTTGGTTGCTAACTGACCGTTCTCTGCCGTCCTTCTGCCACTATCATACTTCCCGTCTGCTCTCTGTGGTGGATGTACTGTACCTGCCAGCCTGGAAACTGTTGGGCATCACCTGTGGTTCACCCAGGTGAACATCTGACAAACAGAAGAGTATGTTCGAGTAGCCGTCACGTGTAATAAACAGACACAGGAGAGAGATTAGACCTGTTAGGCCTGTGGTAAATACAGGTGGCTTAACTGTTGTTTCCCCTCATTGATTGATACATTCAATCTGACAATGAATGAGGAAACAGTCAACCTCATTTTAAAGGCTGACTACACCCCTGATTACACTTCTTAATATTAGATATGCCTGCAACTTTATTACTTTGGTTCACTCCAACTGTTCCAATAGCAAAGTTATCAACCACAGCAGGTTAACTGTTTTTAGTAAAAGCTCTAAAAACCCACTGTACACCTGCCCGGCATCAAACAGCAAACAGACATAATTCGTGACTAGCCCAGTGGAGCATTTAGCAGCTTAAGAGCAAGATTTTACCCTCATGAGTTGAGCAGCAGCTACTGACCAAAAGGATTTTTGTACCTGGTGATCCCTTTTGTCATTGGCCAACAGCATGTCAAAATTCCCCTTCATCAGTGTTTTGCTCAATGATGTTAGTGTGATTTGGGCCTTTTTTTATTTTTTATCTCTCTGTTCATTTACTCCAGATTTGTCTAATGTGGATACCTGGTGCTAAAAATTAAGTTTAGCTCTAGACTCACCGGCTGGTCAGAAATGTACCTTAAAATGAATTCCAATGGTGCTCTGTGTCTGTAAGTCGGAAAATATGTGCTACCAAGTTCAGAATCAACTTAGAAGGTGATGTTGGTAATATGTCAGTGTTGTGAAAAAGCTTGTTTCTGCTGCCACCAAGTGGCCAGAAAAACCAAAAAAAAACCTTTTTGTAGGTTTAACAGAAATATTATCATTATTCATGAATTAATTAATTACAGTTGCTTTTCCTATCCATTACTTAAAAATGTATGCTTAATTCCAGGGAATAAAATAGTATGACCCACCTGTGTGGCAGCGTTTGTAATTGTGGACTAGCTGCTTCAGATCCCCTTTTCAGATCCTCATCTGCTTTCATTCAATTATTCTTACTATATATACGTTAAAAACAAATGAAGAATGATGAACAGACAAAGGGAAAAAAGGATAAAAAAGGGTGATAGGGTAGGGTAGTAGAGAGAGGATTAGGGATAGAAAAATGCTTTTAACTGTGAATAAAAAGAAAGAGGAATCTCTTGGGTCTTTAAGAGATGGTATTCTTCTTATTATTATTATACACTCTATTTCTGTAGCGCCTTTTACTCAGGAATTGCACCTGAAAATGTCTTACACTTAAAAGAAAAGCAACTCAAAACAATTACTAGTGAACACTGAATGTATGAATTTTAGTTTAAGAGAAACCATAGGGGGTCTGAAACTACAAAATCTAGCACAGGAGCAAACCATTACCCCAATCATCAGGGATGGACCTCTGTGAACCTTAAAGTATCATAGTTACAGGAACAGCTCTGTACAGTTTGTCCTCAGACTGAAAATAGAGTTATACAATATATTTTTCAGTATCTTCTACAGTCCAGAAAACCTTACCTCGCTCTGAAGT